CATATATTTGATCAAAAATATAGTAAAAACAGTAATATTGTCAAATATTATTGAAATTTAAAGCTGTTTTCTTTTTTAATATGTTTTGACATTTCATTTATTCCTGTGTTGGTAAAGCCGAATTTTCAGCAGCCATTACTCCAGTCTTCAGTTTCACATGATCTTTCAGAAATCATTCTAATATGTTTATTTGGTGCTTAAACACTTCTTATTATTATCAAAGTTGACAACAATTGTGCTGCTTAATATTTTTGTGGAAACATCATAGCGTTTTTAGGATTGATTGATGAACAGAACCTTCAAAGGAACCGCATTAATTCGAAATAGAATAAATGCTTTGTAACATGTGATTACTTTCATGCATCCATAAAATTATGAATTTCTATGAAATTATGAAATGGCATTGTATACCTTCAATTTTAAGAGAATATGTTGATGTGGGGCCAAAAAGAAATTCAAAATTTCAAAAACACTCTATGTACTTGCATTTGTATTATATATATATATATATATATATATATATACACACACACATATATATATATATATATACGTTTGCACTGTAAATAAGTAAAACTCTCTATCTATCTATCTATCTATCTATAAATCAGTGTATAATAATCAGCAGTGACATGTAATTATCATTTAGGAAGAAATCCAAAATATCTCATATTAATTGATGGGACTGTGAGTTCTCTACTCCATCCTAATGTATTTGTTGTTCCTTCCCACAGTGGATTCACACATGATTAAGTTGTCCTCACTTCTGATTAATAATTAACCGCTGTTGTTATATTTTTTCTGCAGGAACTACAGAATGTGCTCTGCAGTTTCCAGACCCGTATATCTACTGGGACACATTGATGAAGATCTGCGTCTTCATCTTTGCCTTTGTGGCTCCTCTCCTCATCATCACGGTGTGCTACACGCTCATGGTCCTGCGTCTCAAGAGTGTACGTCTGCTGTCGGGCTCCCGGGAAAAAGACCGCAACCTGAGACGCATCACCCGCCTAGTGCTGGTTGTGGTGGCTGTGTTTGTGGTGTGCTGGACGCCCATACACATATTCATCCTAGTCAAAGCTCTTGCGCCCGGAGTGCCGGAGACCACTGCGGTCATGGCCGCCTACTTCTTCTGTGTGGCGCTGGGATACACCAACAGCAGCCTGAACCCCATCCTGTATGCTTTCCTTGATGAGAACTTCAAACGGTGCTTCAGGGACTTCTGCTGCCCAGGTCGGACCAAGGGGGACGGGCACGGCGTCAGTCGGGCCAGAAGCACTCTTCGCGAGCACACGTGCCCAGCAGAGGCCAAAGGGGATGGGGGCCACGGTCGACCCGTATGACTAGCCGTGGAGCTGTCGTCCTTTCACGGTCGAGAGGACTCAAATGACCTGGGACTGACACAGATCACCACCGCCATCTGAGGAAGACATTGTGCCAGAAAAATAGGCTAACTATTGATAGAGCAAAAAGGGATATTTTAGCAAAATCATTGTCTTGTTTTGTGTGTCCATATTCAGATTTTTATAGTACACTGTAAAAAAAATAAAAAAATAAAAAATAAACCTTAAATTTACAGTAAAAATGACAGCTGTGGTTGCCAGAACTTTACTGTAAAAAAATATGGTACCACCATTTAATTTTTCAATTTAATTTAAATTTACAGTAAAAGCCCATACATTATAATTCATTAACTGATCTAAAACACCAAACTACTGAAATATTAAAATATGTTTTAATATGCTGACAACCACCAAAAACACAGGTGTTCATGAGAAAGCCACATGATGAATCAAAGCTCATCACAAATAACTTTTCCAGAAGCTGAAGCTGATATTATTTATTAATATACAGAAGATATACATTAATATACATGACACTAAAATGATGCAGTAAACATTAATTTACCAACATAAAATGTAACATAAAACCCTAATATACATAACTGATAAGAAAAAACTAAGAAGAAACTGGTATTTCAGTCAAAAACCATCAAACGTGAAGTGTCACACAGGGCATTCTGGGAATATCAGTTTATGGGTTTTTCACTGTAAATGATAGGATGATTTGTTCTTTTTCACTTCCAAAAACTTCCAAAAATTTATTAAATGTCACGTTAGATTTATTACAGTTTTTCCTGTAGTAAGGGAACTTACCATTAACAAATCATCCGGTTCTTACTGTATTTTTGCAGTCTTTTCCATTAAAATATGATCATTTTTACAGTGTATCTTCTTATTCAGATCTTTGTTTATTGCTTTTTTTGAATGTCCATTGACCAAAGATGATGTATGATTAAAATCTCGTCTCTCACAATCAAACGTCATGCTCAAAGATCCTTTTGCATAATAAGTCCTTTGGGAAATATTGTACATTACTAGGCACAATATTTTAAGTCTAACTTATAGTTTTGCTTGAGTAGCCATGATAAAAAATATTGTGGCAAAATACAACAAACAAAAACACTGTATGTATGCATCTGTTGGTACTGTAAATACATAAACATTTATTTTGGATTGTGAAACAGTCCCTTTTTATATTTAAAAAAATATCAATGTATATTAATCAGCAGTTAATATTAAAAAGCACTTTAAAACAACCAACTAAAGGACTGCATCTACTTAGTCAGGTTGTTCATGCTTAATACAGTGTATTATCATTTCTATAGACCTACAAAAAAAGATGTACATCTCTATTGCATGCTTGACAATTAAATCTTTATGTAAATGCAATTTATGATGAAAAGAAAATGCAAAATCATTTCTGTTATAAAGTAGAATGGCAGTAATATGTCTCAAGCAAAACAGTTCATACGTACATTGTTTTTGATATTATTGATGTAAGTAAGTATTTGTCATGTTGGCTTTAGGTTGTGAAGGCTACATATATATACATATACATCATAGCGTTCTAAAAAAATTTAGCTTTTACTGTAGTTTTGTTCCTTGGGTGTGTGTGATATATATTATGACATCATCAGTGCTCTATTGCCACAACAGTATTAGGGATTGCAAAATTCTTTTGAAAAATGTAATACCCTTTGTGCCTTTGGTTTTTTGTAAATCAATATATATATATGACATTATTGCAAATATTTGGTCATCTTAGATGCTTTATAGTATGATATAGGACAATGAAGCACAGAGTGTGAGAAGCTTCTATAAGTTCCACTGTAATTTCAGTAATGTGCTTGTACACTATTATAGATTTTGAATGTGCTAGCAAGTTTTCTTTCTCAGCTTGTGCTTCAATATGTGCAATTTCTGAACATTTGAAATCAAATGAAATGAGCTTTGCTATGCCATCAGTTGTACCTTGCTTGTATAATATTACCTGTATTTGAAAATTATATTGTCAATAAATTGAACTGTAAGAATCAGTGTTGATATGAGTCATGTTCTGTTCAGAGATGTCAATTATGAGGTTTTCAGCAATCATGACTGCGATTTGTCCGAAAAATCATACAAGACAACAAAGCCAGATGAAAGAAGTATCAAAGGCACAAAGAACAAAGAACAAAGGCAGTATCGCCATGGCAACCTATTGTGCATCTTATAGCCTAAATTAAACGGCAAGAGACATTCTTTTTTTCCACACCTTTGATGCTTGTCAGTAATGAGAACAACTCAGATACGTCATAGAGGATGCCATGATGATGAGGGCTTGAAATCAATGAACACTGCGTCTAGCTTTAATTTAGAAAAAAGAGATTTTCTTTCTGTAAACTGGTGATATGTTTAATGAAACGTTATGGAATTAATATAAAACATCAGTTGAAGATTATATAAATGTTTAATTAGTCAAAATATATTCTAGTTTTCCCACTCTGATTTCATTGACTTTCCTTCTTTCATGGAACACCAAAAGAGATATTTAGTAGTCCAAATGCTCATTTCCAAATACACTATAAGTGGATAGGAACCATTCTGCTAAATTCCTCACTTTGGAACGACGTGAAGATGAATAAATGATGACAGAATTTATATTTTTGAACAATCCTTGTAAAGGTGCATTCAGTATTTATCATTCGCCATGCTTTGTTGATCTTGAAATGATGGTAGGCTTCAAAGAACAGAAAATTACAGGTTTTTTTATTATTATTTTTTTATTTATTTTATTTTTTTTACAGAGTTGTCCAGTACCTTGTCGGATTATGTGCACATTAACACTTTTTAGAGACAGTCCTATCAGTACTCAGTTAAATCTAGCTCTTGGTAAGTCTGATGAAGTGTTAACGTTGTCATGGTAGACATGGATAAACATAGCTCTTCAAGGTCACTCTGTGAGATTGTGAAACATCTGTTTGTCAGAACAGCTCTAGTGAAGGAACATGTTCAATTCATTTCCATAGAATCTGTGAGGTGTGTAATTACTATATATTCTGAGAGAAAATGACTTGTCTGTGCTTACACTCTCCATCATTTTTTGAATTGAAATGGGGTAATTTACATCATTGTGGTTATATCAACATGAAAGTTAATATGTACCTGAATGTTGCTAAAAATAAAATTAAAAAAATTTTTTTTTGAATGCAACAGTCAGATTTCTCAGATTATCTACAGTAAATAAACATAATTAATTCGTTAATTAATAGATAACTGAAATTAAAAACTCATTGATCAAAATATTTTATAAAAAAAAAAAAGCAAAATACAAAAAAAAAAAAAAATCAATCATGATCATATCATTTCAATCATTAAATATATCAACCTGATAACAGTAAGCCAATGGTAGCAATAATTAATATATGTTTCGATACATTATATGAACAATTAATGTAGGTAATCCATTTATTTATTCGTTGGTCTCCCTATATTGGCTGGTTTAAAAAATATGTGACGAAACAATTTCAAGGGGGGAAAAATGAGACGAAAGAGAAACATATACAGCAATAGCCTACATAAGAAGAACTGAATTTAGGGAATTTCTAAAGCTTTACCAGTGGGAACCAACAGAAAAATATCATACTGCTCAGTAGTGACTTTTATTATGGTGTGTATTCTACGACCAACCGGAACATGCTTACTGTGATCAGTATTTATGTACCTTAACAAAGCAAATAAGTATCAGTCCCGTTTAAAAATGAACCGAATTTTCGGTCGGAGCAAACAAACGCCTACTCCTAACCTGTCTGACTGCATAGGCAATGTAAGTAGGCTATTGTTGTGACTGTCTCACGGAACATGAGTGCAGCATCCTGATTGGTGTTTGCATGTCAGACATGGATGTACTGTGGATGCTGTGTGCTGTTCCCGTTATAGGTGGATACGAGGATCGAGTCAGTCGATAAGAAAATAGCGAGAATCGACGCAGAGCTAATGAAGTATAAGGACCACATGAAAAAGATGAGGGATGGACCCTCAAAAGTGAGCATCAGAGACTGGAGTTGATATCATGTCAACAGGGGCGGATTTAGTGATTTGGGGGCCCCAGGCAAAATACAGGAATTGGGCCCTATACAATTTCACACATTTATAACCTTGAGGTTCCTTTCACTCTGGCTTTTGGGGGCCCAAGGCGCTCGCCTACCTTTGCCTAATGGTTAAGTCCGCCTCTGCATGTCAACATGCAATAATGCTGCAGTCTCTCATTCTGTCTACACAGACAGCTGTACAGTGAGATCCAAAAGTCTGTTTTGCCTTTTCAATAAATTTTTTTAAATTAAAAGGAATGTTATCAACATTATCAACAACTTGTGAATCAAATTAATTTTTTTATTGAAAAATTAACATGAATGACTTAGTTTTGCAAGTCCTCCCTCTGATAGCAGCACTCGAGCCAGTGTAAATAAAGACAATATTATAGTTTTTATTAATATTTTGATTTTTTAAAATATATTTTAGTTAAGGTTAAATTCATTTTGTTTTTGTCATTTTTTATTAATTTTTTTAATTATTTTTAATATTTTTTATTTATTTTACTTTTAGTTACTTTAGTAACATATAAAGTATTTAAACGAAATGAAAATGAGAAATGTTGCCAAATACATATATATAATATATATATAGTATCTCACAGAAGTGAGTACACCCCTCACATTTTTGTAAATATTTTATTATATCTTTTCATGTGACAACACTGAAGAAATGACACCTACAATTTCTCATTATATATATTATATATTATATTTCAGCTTAATGAACTCCACAAGTTTATGTAAAAGCTGATGATCCATAGATCACCTTGTGTATCATCTGACCTTGAGAATTTCACAAGTTCACAAATCTACTTTATTTATTTTTTGGGGATTTTGAATCCCAGATTTTCAATGTGGTTTAAAAATGTTTGATCATACACAGTTCTGTAAGTGTGAGATAAACAATCTGTTTACAGAATGCAGTGAAACAGAAGGCGATGAGAGTACTAAAACAAAAGAGAATGTGAGTTTTTCCCTGTACTAATATTAATTTGTAATGTGTGAAATGTTTATTTCAATATCTAAGATTATGTTTCCATTTCACATTTAAAAAGATATAAAATATTTATAAAATTTATAAGATATAAAATATTTTATAATAATATTGTTAAATTCTGTTTTTGCTTTTCTTTTCACTGTATTATGCAGGTATGAAGGTCAAAGAGATCAGCTTTCCCAGCAGTCATTTAATATGGAACAAGCCAACTATACTATCCAGTCTTTGAGGGACACCAAAACAACAGTAAAGTTTTGTTATTTAGCTTTACAGCTGTCTATATTATTCTCAGCACTATTGTATTTTTTATTTTATTTCATTTTTTAATTCATAAAATGTTTATTTATTTATTTTTGACATCCCACTTCTTCTTATGTGGTATTTTCCTAATAAAATAAATAAATGCAATAATACATAGTCAACCCCCCCATATTTTCTAAAACAATTTATTTCTAAACTTTCCAAAATGTCATTCTGTTTTGCTGGTGTCAATATTCTCCCCAGCATTATTGGATTTTTAATTTAATTAAATTTATTCATTCATATTTATTCATTTTAACTGTTAGATTCTACAGATGTTTTATTCTTTTGTAGGTGGAGGCTATGAAGATTGGGGCAAAAGAAATGAAGAAAGCATATAAACAAGTGAAGATGGATCAGATTGAAGTATATACACTTATCATTTTGATATCAGCTGTTTTTAAGCAATATTTTTGATGAATGATCAGTGGTAAATAATGTACACTTTTCATTACCAATCTTTGTGACTGATAGGACCTGCACGATCAACTGGAGGACATGATGGAAGAGGCTAACGAGGTGCAGGAAGCTCTGAGTCGCAGCTATGGCACACCAGAGATCGATGAGGATGAGCTAGAAGCAGGTAGTTGTGTGTGTGTGTGTGTGTGGAGCTGAGAGCTTCACTTTTTTCTCTGTTGCAGAGCTGGATGCTCTGGGAGATGAGTTACTGCTGGATGATGACAGCTCTTACTTAGATGAAGCCTCGTCTGCACCCTCCATTCCTGAAGGAATGCCCAGTGACACTAAAACCAATAAGGTGCAGATTACATAGATAAAATTGTCAATGACAAAATATTCATATTACTTATAATTTGTTATTATTTGTCTTTGTGATTTATTCAGTGCATATTTGTATTTGTATCTCTCAGGATGGAGTTCTGGTCGATGAGTTTGGCCTACCACAGATCCCTGCCACATAAGAATCTGTTCTCTGATCAGTGTTTTGTTTACTGGTGGAGGACGTTTTTCTTGTGCTGATGGTATTGAACCTGTGTTGTATTCATTGCCCAGTCTAGCACACGGTATTGTACATGAAGCGTGATTTTCTAGTTTTATTTAGAATTTGGTAATATAAACATGTTCGCCTGATTTCCATAACCCAGTAAATTCCGACGAGATTACAGTTTTTAGATATCCAATTTAAACTCCTGGCATATCCTTTAGTAATCAGAATTTTGGATCACCTACTTTCCCTTGTATCTGAACATACCTCTTTATTAATGCATGTTCAAACAAAAATAGTTTTGGATGATAACTTTGGAGATACAAACAGTTTGGGAAAGTCGAGTTATTGAATAAACTTATTTATTTATTTTAACAAAAAATTACAAACATAAAAATCTCACTCTTGAGTGTTGTTACATATTACATATAAACTCATATTATTATTATTATTCATTTTATATTTCTATGCTCTTGTTAAGATGAAGTGTGTATTGCTTCACTCTGAACTCTGAAGCTGGTTGAAATGTTGACAGAATTATTGTTGACATTGATCAAGTATTTCAAGTCCATCGTTCTGGGTAGCATTAGCATTAATGAAGAACTTGCGTGGAGCAGCTATGAACTAGTCCAAAAAAATGACCTGGTTTTCTTGATAACAAACTTCATTAATGAATTGAATATGCATCAAGATGTGAAATATTCTGAAATGTGAAATGCATCACTGGAGTCTATGAGAGATGCAATAAATGGTGGTATTTGAAAACATTTTTGTGGAACCATTGGGCTATTCATGCAGCAATAACACATTTCAGAAGAAAGACAGATTGAACAAGAGGTATTACACAGTCACATTATTTACAAGATTAGCTGCTACAAAAAAAACAACAACAAAAAAACATACATTTTAGTACCTAGAAAATATCAAATTTTCAGCGTTTTTTTGTTTGTTTGTTCCAAAAGGTTTATGTATAGCCCACTTTTTCCTGCGTATATGGTATTTTCCTAATAAAATGAATAATAATTGCATAATGTAGATTTTTTTTTTTGCATTCCAAAATTACATTCTTCCAAAAATAAATAAATAGAAATCCACACATCCCGGTTTTCTATTAATACAGGTTTCTAAATCCTTCCGAATTATTCTTGAGTAAATACAATAATACAGAAGGACCGATGGATGAGGCGCAGAAAAGGGGCGTGACGTACACACACGCGTCATTTCCGGTTGCATGTGAACACACTGTAAAGTTGTGAAGCGTTAGCTATTAGTGTGCCGATATGGCGGAGAACACTATGACAGTGACAGTTGCTTGTGGTAAAGATAACTGACCACCATTTTACATTTTAAAACGTTAAGATATATCGAAAATAAATGTAGTCGGTATTTTTATTATGGCTTTATACGGTTCGACAGTTTTGAAGCTAGCTACCTGTAAATGATCTGAACATCCCTCTAAATCACAGACGTTTATTTCAATATTAGTTACATCTAATTACGGCTAGTTAAGTGGTAAATGTCAATGCTGGATTTGCAGATACAGTGCCGGTTAGCTCTGAATAATTTTGAGTATTAAACCTGTCTTGTTCTGTCTATGATAATGACTGTTCTTGTCTCAGGCACAACCAAACACAACATCACTTTAACAGCACAGGATGGACATGAAGCACTGTTAAAGGATTTGTGTGAGGCGCTGACAGAAGCCACGGGAGTACCAATACCATCCCAGAAAGTCATATTTAAAGGTAATACAGTATATACTCTGCTTCAGGCACATGTGTTTCTCAGCTTCCTGTGTTATACTTACTCAACTGTAAATGGCCACCTGTGTTTTGGATATAAACTACAGTAATTATCACTAGTTGAACTCAACATAACAATGCAGTGTTTGAAATAAAAGCATCATTAATCTGTGCCAGTGCAACAGTAACAGTGTATTGTTGAATGCAAGAATATCTGGATCACTAGAATTGTAACGTTATGTTGTTCTGGCTGTAGGGAAATCACTGAAGGAGATGGAGGAGCCTCTGTCCAGCTTTGGAATAAAGCAGGGTTGTAAACTGATGATGATTGGAAAGAGGGTAAGATGTGTCTTTAATTAATTCATACAGATAGAACTGCAATTATTTCTGAGTCTGACAAGCTGCTTTATTTTTACAGAACAGCCCTGAGGAGGAAGTTGAGCTTAAAAAGCTCAAAGACCTTGAAAAGTCATTGGAACAAACTGCCAAGAAGCTTGAGAAGGTGGATGGTGAACTCACAGGACTGAAGAATGTATGTGTGACATGGATAAAAATCTCTTTATTTTTATTTTTGAACACTGTACTTGTTATAAGAGGCTTGGCAATATGGTCATTTTATAATTTAATGAATTATTTTCAGGGTTTTCTTGCAAATGAGTTGCAAGCTGAGGCTCTTAACAAACTGGACCACAGGGTGAAAGTTGCCGCTGAGCAGTTCATGAAAATCTTAGAGGAAATAGATGGAATGGTAATTGTTTTTCATTGTTGTTATATTGTTTCTTAAAGTTATCACGAAATGAAAATCTATTTTGTAAATGCATGTGAACTTACTATTAAAGACTTATTCATGCATGTTTAATTTTAAATTTTCAACTTGTAATTTTTAATCAATATTATAACTCAGCCTTCCGGTGAAATGACAGTCTTATCTCTTGTGACGTATGTTGGACTTCTCCAATCATTTAGTCGATTAAACCCTGTCCCTTCACAATCGACTCCAAGCTCACATTCATTTTTGAGTGCAACAGCCACATCTCAAAATCCAATCAACAACTGATGGATAAAATCAAGTTCCCGCCGACTTTTTTTCTTTTTCCGATAATCTGTTACGCTCAGATGTGCGACACAGTAAGGATGATAAGATCTGTTGTTTCATTGTGAACTGATTATTTTTATCATTATTATTTATATATTTTTGTTCCTTAAATTATAGTATATTGGATATAGTTAAATACCGTTGCTCAGTAAAGCTTATTTGTGCCTTTTTATATTGATTATTTACAGAACTTGCCTGAGAGTTTTAGTGATTGCAGGATGAAGAAAAAAGGACTTGAGAAAACTGTTCAGGTACGATTATGACTTATTAAAGGAATAGTTCACCCCAAAATTAAAACGTGCTGAAAATGTACACACCCTCAGGCCATCCAAGATGGAGATGAGTTTGTTCACTTGCATTGGATCCTCTCCATTGAATGGGTGCCGTCAGTATGAGTCCAAACAGCTGATAAATACATCACAATAATCCACAAGTAATCAACACGACTCCAGTCCATCAATTTACATGTTGTGAAGTGAAAAGCTGCGTGTTTGTAAGAAACAAATCCTTCAAACACGCATAGAGCGGGATAATACGCAGAGCGTCACACCACATGAAAGTGAATCCTGAGCGGAGAACTAATTTTCGGCAGCCGAAATTTCAGTGCATCTCTAATTATTGGCGACATCAGAAATTTATATGATATAATAACTGCTTTTTTGAACATTTTAGCAATTTAAAAATATAAAAAAAAAACAATTACGCGGCACCCCTGCTCTCGACAGACGGCACCCCGGTTGGGAAACACTGCTTTAAACCATCACTTCTGGCCAAAATACCAGTCTATAATCCATCCAGTGAAAAAGTCCATCCCATGTTGTCCTCTCACATCAAAATCAACCAACATATTTTTTAGAACTGTTTTGGACAGTTTTCGCTTGTGCTTGATACGTGTATATTTCTCTTATGATTCAGACTAGATTAATTTTTCACTGGCGAATGCAAGATTATTTGTATTTTAGCAGGAAGCAATGGTTTCAAGTTGAAAGCTTTCTAATCAGCATTTTGCTAAACAAAATGTGGATTACTTGTGGATTATTGTGATGTTTTTATCAGCTGTTTGGACTTTCATTCTGATGGCACCCATTCACTGCAGAGGACCATTGGTGAGCAAGTGATGTAATGAAACATTTATCCAAATCTGTTCTGATGAAGAAATAAAATTACACCTTGGATGACCTGAGGGTGAGTAAATGTAAATTTTTAGGTGACCTATTCCTTTAATATTGGGTTTTAATTAAGCACCTTAGACTTAAACATACCCATGGCCATTATTTGATTTCTTAAATATTGTTCTCTTTATTTTCCTCATACTCAGGGTTTCTTAGCACAGTGTGACAAAATTGAAGCTGGAATATCAGACCACTTGGCTAAGATTCAGACAAAAAACTTAGCCTTAGCAGAATGATCATGAATTAAGACTCCTGACATCAGTAGTTACTGGTGCTGCAAATGAAGAACCTCACCGAGAGCTTTGGCACTGGAGGTGCAGTTGGCCTACACCCCACAACCTACACATGCACCTGTTATACAGAGAAGAACAGGCAGCATTCGAAACATTTTGAAATAGTTTTCTTATGAGTTTAGATTTTTCATGCTAATTGTTGTTGGAAATGCTTATGGCTAGGTTTAGGGAGTTTTGACCATCTGGACCACACTGTTCTCTCTTTAAACTTTATCTAGCCTGACAGATGTTGGATTCATAGTCTTATTTTGATCAAAGAGGAAAAAAAACGATGCTGGAAGAATACCCTTTTAAAGGATCGAACATAAATGATCAAATTCAATAAATCGAATTTGTGCAGTAAAAATGTTATTTATGAAAAGAGTGAACTTGTGCGAAGCAAAAGATTGTAGAATTGATAGTCCTTGTTTTGTTTTTATCATGATTAAATCTCAGGGTGCTTCAAACCACTGGTGGTTTTCCCCATCAATTTCTGTTTCAAATGTTGTTGTCAAGTTATTGAGAGAAATTAAACATTTGAAGACAACTTTTGTGTCGTCTCAGTAAATATTTGGCAATTTGTCCTGCTCTGTACAATTCTAAATCTACTAGGCTTCAATGATATTATGAATTAAAATACTAAAATCCTGTTTTTTAAGTGTAAAGAAATGTTGAGAGAAACTCTAAACTGACTTTTTCGTATAATGTCCCACATTCTGTAATGAAAATTTGATGACTTATTTCAAATTGTTTATTACAAGTGTAAACATCCAGCAACTCCAGGCTACACTGAATAATTCCAGAATTTATTTCTCAACATTTACATACCAGAACAGCATTCATTCACTTTGAGGTTTACCACAGATTACATGTCTATGTATTTCATAGTTATGTACAAGCCTACGCAAACTGTTTAAGAGTACAGTCAAATGATTTTGCCTTGCAGATTAATGTATCCCTTTGCACTATCCCATGAATGTGGGGAAAAGAAGACAGTTAAACATGTTGTAGTGTTACAGTGTAGTTTTCATTAGTTTCAGTAGTGCTTGGCTTTGTCCTAATCATCCTTATCTTTAGCACCATG